TCCTGTAGATACGGCTTTCTGAGGCTTGAACCTCGGTCCGAATCAGCGAATCCCGCAAGCGCTCGAATATGAGCTCCATTTAGGGATCATTCGTAGATCTCAGCATTGAATGCAACACATGGAGTGGTGAAAGAAGATGAGGCTGTCAGAGCAAGGAACTCCGCTTAGCGGGAACTTATCGGGACCAGGCCATGCCGACCCGAATCAGCGGAAGATTCGATTGTCCGGAGCCAAAATCAATGGAGCCCAATTGATCCGGACTCTCCGGGAGCGAATTGATTAGGCGGAGGATCCCATCAACCGGTGTTGCCGTTAGGCGGAGCTGTACTGATTCCCGAGATTGCTCCAGCATTATTCAATGGAAATTCAGGACTCCGCGAGTTTACATCGACCGTGGCTTGGCCCAGAGCCGAAAAAAAAACGGGCGACGACGGACTCTGAGGGACCCTGGGCTGTCGTTGAGCTCTTGCACGTGGCGAGAACTGCAAGGACCGTCTTCCGCGGGCCTCGTTGGGTCTACTGAGCTTGATAGAGCTATGGAATTGCTTTCCAGGAAGCCAATGTCCGGATTCGCTTGGAGCTGCGTCATCAACATCTTATGCCATCGGGTCCTATCAATACTCCGGGTTGATACGGGTTTAGCCCTCAGAATACAGACATAGCGGTCCATAATTGGTCACGGAATGTTCCCAATAGTGCCGTAGTAGGGGGCGCGAAGGGAGGGCAAGACTAGTTGTCCCGAAATCGGGTAGCACACCATATCGAGTTCCTCAAGTGATTCTATGTATCGGAAAAATGGGAAACAGCGACACGAAGAACAATTACGCTAGATGCTCTGTCCGTTGAGTGTGATCTTCGAGACTCTCAAAATGTGGTTCATGGATCCAGTACCTGGGAGCTTACGGCTCACGTACTCGACACCTCATTCCTGCTCGCTCGCCCCTTAGGCGGGGGTGTTATAGGATACTGCATCTGATGGCACCCAATCCAAGCTCTCGGGTCTCCCTTGAGTCGTTTATATCGAGGCTCGGAATATGCTTCATCATGTTTCATATGTATATAGGTATTTCATTGATCGAATCATGCACGAGTAAAATTCGTACATGCATCCCATGTTCGAGCGCTCTCCGCGTGCAAAGGTTCTCCTGATTTGATACGCTCATTCGAGAAAATGTGGTCGAGGATGACCGTTGGGGACGTCCCAGACGTTGATTTGAGGCACAATCCTGCCCCTTTCCGAATAGAGACTACGTGTACATATGGATATACATACGTACCTGCTCCTCGCGCTTATGTTCACTTGGGTTTCCGCATGCCGCACATGGATCTGGCAGACTTTCCGCGCATTCTTTTCCTGTGGTGGGTGGCACCGAACCCTCCCTGGTGAGAATTATCTCAGGGGACGAGGAAGGCGTCCCATGGGTGCGAACTTCTGAGTATGAGTCGCACAACGCACAAGAATAAGACCGTTCTTCGTGTCAACTAGGATCTGAGGCTGTGAGACAACGCTACATGATCAAGCGATTCGCGACCGTACCGACTTCGAAGCGATCGAAGCTGTCCTTACCTCATATGCAATGGAGGTGATCGCCTCTCGGGTCCGAATCGAACAATATTGGAACACGGGAGTATGGTGGAGGAATCAGGATACTCTGGCGAAGTGCGTCTCGATATGGAAATTTGGGAGACTTTATCCAGGATTCAGGAAACCTCGTGTTCTCGCCCGCTTCATCAGCGAATCCACGCACGCGGGAGGCATCTCGACACTAGGAGATTGTATGAGATTTTTTGGGATGGGCTCTGTAACGAGCATATCGCTCCCTGGTTTTTCGGCGAGGACGACAGGCCTAACCTCTTGCAAGGTGGCTCCCATCGTCGGAGGCCGGGGAGCCAGGGAATATGTATTAGCAGTCAATCGACTCGGACATAGGATCGGCAAGGCTGCATAGTGCCTGGGCCGGCATTCGGAATCACGACCACTTTACGATCCCTTCCGAGTAGGCTGGCTCACACAGCTATGATTTAGCGTTCCACGTATCGCCAATCACCTATTGCATGTTGCCGATACGGATTCAGAGAGAAGATGGACCGGGGCCGGGACTTGCTCTCCAGTGAGAAGATTCTGTGAAGGAAATCCGCCCACGGCTTCAATCAAACCCAAGTCTACCGTCAGAGCGAGACCGCTTTACGATCGGTGCACGGAATCTCGATACCAAAAGTCCGTGGGGAGGCTCGATCGTAATTTCGCGTCTGTGGTATGTCGCATGACGAGGAGTTGGGACTCGTCAGATCGATTCTGTAGAGCCATTTTCAATAAGGGAAGAATCTATCCTCGAAAAGTCGAGTCTCGAATGCCGAACTTGTGCTCCGTCGGACCATACTTTCGACTCCGGTGATTCCAAGTCGGGAATAGGTCAGAATAAGATAGAAGCATGTTCCCCGGGAACGTGTCGGAGCTACCCGATCCTTCCGAAAGACCGCCCGACTTGTGTTTAGATAACGAGAGGATTACATTCCGACTAGTCAACGCTCATCAAAGTGACTGCGGACGTATTCACTGAGCGCTTACGATGGGATGAGGTCGTCAAGCTTCGTTTATCGGACTATCAATGGCGCTCTGATCGAGAGACCGATATTCTCTTTTCATCCACATCGGAACATCCGCGACATTGATGCATTTATAATCTTTGAAGCCGACTTGGAGCTCGAATCATTCCTCGAGAAGAGCCAGAGTGAATCTGCGGTCCCGACTTTCCGTGGTCTGGGGATCCATCCGATTCTCGCTCCATGACCTTGAAACCGTGAGGGACCTAAAAAAGAAAGAGGAGCAACCGGCGATGCTAAAATATTCGAGGCGGTCGATTTTTCAGGAAACTTACAGAGTCGGACTGCCCTCTAGCCTCATCGAGATTGACCTCTGTGGTCTCAATCGATCGTCAGAGGCGACTGTCTGACTGCATCGAGGTTTGAGTTGGATCGTGTTTCGTACCCGAATTCTGCTCACGAGCACTTCTAACCAGAACAAACGATTCAATGACTATTTTCGTACGTGAGCTTCCATCGGAAGCCGTCTATAAGTTCCATCGTAGCCGATGACATGGACTAGGAGCGAGCTTCAGTTGTAGCACCCGCTGTCGCGCACTCCATCCGAGGAAGATCGGCGTGTGGCTCATGGGCATCTGGATGGATAGGGACCGTAGGCGGAGAAAGCTATCCCTGCTCACACGCCCAGAATCCCACATCTTGAACTGTATTCCGACCATGCTTTCGATCTCTCGACCGAGTAATGAGCAGCTCTTCGCGCCGATCTCCGCTCGATAGCATTCGCAGATACAGGGCCGATCTAGAAAATACCAATATGGACCCTCCATGATACGCCTGTACGTGGAGACTGCGCGGGCTTGTCCGCGGCGAGAAGGTTGGTACGCTGCGCTGTCAAGAGTCTTCTCTTGTCCGCATCCATTCATGGAGCGGGCAACTGAAAATGAAGAGGCAGTCACCGAATCATCCGACGAGCAGCTTCCAAAGGACGCGCAGAAAGAGAAAGGAGGAACAACGCTCGCGCGCCGTCAACACTGTCCCAAAACACGAGTCGCGCATTCCGTGCAGCACCAATGCTCCGGTGAAGATCGTTGTCTCGTTTGAGTGATCGATTTTCGTGCGGCGAGTGTCCGAGGTGGTAAGTTTTTCGTCGCAAGTCGACTCGATGTTACGGGAATGGTCGCCTTGTGCATTCTGGTCGGATGAGCGGAAGCATAAACGGACGGGCAGAGACGGAGTGAAATAGCTGAGTGGACAGGACCGTGCGCAGCTGATCTGGGATCCGCTCTTAGTTAGTCAGAAACGACTGTAGACCCGTTCGCTCGCTCAGTCCGGCGTTCAGTCTACGGACGTAGATGTCTTTCGCGTTCGTGAATTTCCGTGACTGTGGTTCTTTTGCACGTCTTCATCGTGATCGTGTACAGTGCGCTCAGCAGCCAGTTCCTCGTTCAAAGAGACAACTCTCGCTCGATATCCCGATAAGAAAGAAACATCGTCGCAATGAGCAGACTCGTGAGTTCACCATCGTCGCGGATCGTCCCAAGTTCTCGGCTCCAGATAGGCGAGGTCATCGGGGAGGTCCTTTCGAAGCCCATTGTCATGTTAGCGATCTGTCCCGGGAGGGAACGGCTTTTCTCGGTTCCCGTCCGCAAGCTCAATCCGAGAGTCGCGTCACGGGGAAGGGTGCTCTTCGACTCTACGCGGCGATGATATCGGAAATTCTCTCGCAAAGTGACTTCCATAAAGCTCCGAGCGGATCTCTGAGCAGCTGTCTGTTGCTAGGAACACGTGACAAATTATCCGCTGGTCGTTCATGAATTCCCTCGTAGATTCAATTACGACACGGCAGCGCGACATCTGTCTCAGGAATCCGTCTGTTTGGAGAAGCTTGTCGCTGCCGGTATGCGGGAGAGGTGCGCCGGATATGGAATGACTCTTGGAAAACTAGCTCTCTGAATTGCCCAACTCTCTTCGTTTGGGGAACAGTGAAAAAAATTCCCTCCTTGTCCCGCTGCCCGAAACGCGCGAGGACCGATACTCGGAACTGATAGATGAAGAGTACGGCGATGCTACGGGAAACCTGAAAGAAATGATTGAAAGCAGCTGACGGCTACTGGAATTTTATTCATCGCGACGAGGAATCTGTCATGCTCAGCCCGGCGACGTAAGGAAGGGTAGCGCTCCAGATTGGAACTTCACTGACGGAGATAGAATAATATTCGCGTAGTAATTGCCGTCCGGTATTGAGATGCGATCCCAAGGACCTCTCGAAACCGATCGATGCACCTGCGCGGAGCGCATGGCGCTTGCATCATGACGTTGAGGTTTTCCTAAAGATCTCTTCATCTTGTGTAGGCACATCGTCAGCTTATGATTTTCCATCAGACCAAATTAGCAATTCCATGGTGTTCTTCGCTGTACGCTTTCAGTTCGGAAGAAGCCGAGTCCATCGTTCGAGAATGGACGATCGAGACAGAAGATCGCCCGGAGAACGTACTTCTTCTCGGTGGGCGAAGATTGTGAAAAAAGCCAAGCCCGCACAGCTATCAGAAGATTCCGAGTTAAAGGTAAGAAATCGAGTCGAGTATCAGGAATTCTCCCGTACGTGGAAAAAAGTTTCGAGGAGAGAAATCACGAACGTCCTCCTTCGATTCCCATTGATATCGAAGCAATCCTCCAGGAGCACAACCTCGCTGACGACATAAGATGCGGAAACTACGACACCTGGACACCGGAAGCTTGCATCCAAATATTGAGAACTCCCACGGTAGAAAATTTCGCGGGACTCAAGGTACGAAAATTCTTCGGGGTCTTCTGGAAATTTCGTCGTGGGTTCGGATTGGTTCGAGCCCAAATGCTCAACGGCTCTCAATCTGCGTAATACGAGCAAAACCGTCTCCGAATAAATGAGCATCCGGCGAAAAATTCCGTAACCCTTCGTCGCTGAGCGGATCATCTATTCAAGAAACTTCTGTACCGGTCCGACACTGTGTGGATGGAGGAGTTCCTGCAGCGTGAGGGTCTGGAAGCGCTCTTCGAAAGCTTGCAGAGACTCGCCCAGAGAACGACAACCCTTCAAGGAGCAGTCATCCTCATCAACTGTGTGGAATGTTTGCGAGCGGTGATGAACTGTCCGGCGGGTCTCAATCACATCGTCCAGCACCATCGCTACACGCGAAAGATACTTGAAGGTCAGTTTCGAATTTTCGTATTCCGCTTCTCAGACCGATTTTCCGCAGTTGTGTGTCATTCACGGGGTCCAAATGAATTTCTCAATGATTGATTCTCATCGTCTGGCAATCTTGTCACCTGATAGCGACCCTCAATTGTCTCGCTCTGGGCAGAGCGACGTAATTTACCGCAAGGCTTCCACTGTGGGGTTGAGTCAGAGGAGCATGAGCGCGGATTGACTCACGCTGCTTCTCTAAAACGCAGCGTGAATTGGATTTCCCTTCCGGAAGACTTCAATGAGAAACTTCGAAGTAGCTGCCGTGCGTCGGGAAAACCATGTGGTTTTGTGAATAGACGGGTCATAGACACGACCATATCGTCACCTTGATGTACCATTTATTCCACAATCCGGAAGTAGTTTGAAATTTCGCAAAGCTTTCGGCGAGGTGCGACTAAGGTTTCCCAAACAACTCGAACATACATCACCGTGCCGAAAGCCTCGTCGGTCGACAGAATTTGTTTCTGTGAGCGAAAGCTGCCAAAAAGTGCGAGAATTCAGGGATCTATTGGAAGTGGGCTCGCTCGAATGTTGTGTCAAAATTCACGCCCCAACGCGCTATTGTTCGAGGTGGTTACTGTTTCTCACCGTGACAAGATACACGAGGGCACCTAAGCCGAGTTCTCTCGACGAACACTGCAACTACGGCTCAGGAACCTCCAACAATGAGCCCGACAAGATGACCCTCAAAGCATAAACTTGTCCACTGAGCTCTTCCTGCGCGGGGGATGCTTATGAGAGCTGCTCATCAAGAGGGCCGTAAGAGGGGACCTTACCAATTTAAATCAAAATTAATAATATTGACAAGATGAGATGATTTTTCACAGCTTTCGCATCGGAAAACGTGCTGGTGAAGAAGCAAGTCGTCGAGCTCCTCAGTGCTGTTTGCTTATACTGTCCGGAGGGTAATTTCCTCGCCATGGATGCCTTGGATCACTATAAGGTGCGTCCATGAGAATCGGCCCGCAGGAGAGCCCTCGATTCTCTTACCGTATCACGAATTCAAATTCAGAATCTCCGCTCTGGATAGCCCCCCATATTGGGAAGGCTTTTTTTCTGATCTAACATCGATCAGGTCCCTAAAATTTTCGAAATATATCGGGAGAACAGAGATCACACAACATTCCCTCGAGGCTCGGATACTTGGTCGACGACTTGAAGGAGAATAAATGCGGAGCTTACACGGTTGCAATCCTAGCTTTTATCAACTGTGTGATCTTCACTGCGGGAGGACCCTTGGAAAAAGCTCGAATCCGCAACGAATTCATCGGTATGATCCTTCACGGAACTTTCTTCGCGGGCTCACCGAGAAAAAAAAACTCCCGGCAAGCAGGCCTTTCTGACTTTTGGACTAACCCATACATTTCATCGGAGCCTCATTGTCGACAGCACTGGTCATCTAATCACTCCCATTTCACAGCCCATGGCTTGCTCGATGCGATCAAATTCTTGACGTCGACTTGTGAAGAAGAAGACGTATTCGTTCAAATCGAGGCCTTCGAGAGCGATCGAGCCCGAGACGAAGACGCTGCTCTCGACGAACTCCAAAGAAAGTTGGGTGTGGAAACCATAGAGCATTTTGCCACCGTCATGGAGAAGGTAACCTATATATGAACTTCCGACAGAAATAATAGTCCGCTTCCATGAGGACTTCGGAACAATATCTAGGGACATACTTCTCACCAGATATCCAGCGCACCGCACGCGGTTGCATGCCTCGATTTAATCCTTCAGCACTTGTGCAAAGTTGATCCAGGCCGCCCAGAAAGGTGAGGCATTTTTCTCTTGAAGCGAAACCGAGACGGCCGAGCGAGATCGTGGGATCGGCCACAGGCCATTGGCCGTGGGGTTGGGAGAACGGCCACAGAATAATATTAAGGGGTCTGCTTAGAGAGAGATCGCTTGTTGAAGTCAGGGTCATTGAGGCTCTTGAGATTACTTTCAGCAACCTTGTTTGGGACATCCTCGAGCGCTTGTCCGCAGCTCTCTCGGGCAGCCACGGATGCGAGCCAAGCCTTGTGATTAACCTCCATCATCGACTCCTCGAAATCCTCAAATCTACACCTCAGCAGGCTGCCCTCCCCGCGAACGTGAACACGAGTAATGGGGCTATGGGTTCCAGTGGAGCAAACTTGCCCACGATTAAGGAGAGACATTCGACAGGAGACGTCGACGAAGATCTTGCGGAGTCCAAGAAGGAGGACCACGGTGTGGAAGAGAAGACATCGGAGCCGAAGTCATCGCGCGTGCCCAGTTTCCTCAAGAAACATAACATTTTCAATCAGCTGACCCGGAGAGCGAGTCGCAGGTTTCAGAAACTAACTCAACGGCACAGACCGCCCCGAACGGACAATGGAGGTCTTGACCCTGCCGGCATCACCAGAGATGCGAATCCGGTAAGGGAGCACCTCGCCCGGGCTCCGGCTCCCGAATCTATGAACACGAAAAACCTGATCTCACGAAATGCTCATCTCGGAGCGTCGATAGCTATGGATTATCCCGTTCCATCACCGCGGGAGGCTTCAGCTACCCTTGTCCCGGACTCACGCCGTAGAGCCTCGCCCATAGATGATACTCGAAGCACATGTTCGGACCTTCTTCTATCGGATGCCCCGCTATACCTCAATCCTACGATTTCCGCACTCGGTTCAACATCGCCTTCCAGTGGTTGCGCTCCCACACTCACTCCTCCCCGATCTCCAGAGCCGCCGGTGTCGGCATCCGATTGCTCCCATCCTCCGCCTCCTTTGCCGTCTCCCACACCTACGAATGGCTGCGATTCTCCTCCTCCCCCTCCGCCCCCACCACCGATGCCTATGAATGGCTGCGTTTTCCCTCCTCCCCCACCTCCAATGCCTATGAATGGCTGCATTCCTCCTCCGCCACCCCCAATGCCAATGAATGGCTGCATTCCTCCGAGTTCCGGAATCAAGCTCGGCCCTCCTCCCCCTCCTCCGATGCCGACACTCGGTTCTCCTATTGGATCAGCAGACGTAATTTCGCCGTCTTATCGAGCGACTCTCGGAGCGGCTGCTCAGACGGCCAAACCGATGTTCTTCGCGACACTGCCAAGACCGTCGAACAAGATGAAAACCTTCAACTGGATGAAGGTTCCCGATAGAACAGTCATGTCGAAAAAAAATATTTGGAAAGAAATCCTCAACACAAACGACACGGTCGAGGGTAAATTAGATTTCGGTCAGCTCGAAGCTTTGTTCTGCCAGAAGTCGTCGAAAAGCGCAGATACGTCCCCTGGAGATCGGCTTACGAAGAAGAAAAGCAAGGAGCCGTCGAAGGTGAGATGCGTCCGGAATCTATTGGAGTTATTGATATAGGCATTATTTCTATACATAAATATGTATATCATGCTGCCCGGGAGCTTGTTCAGGGGAACCAACGGAGGGCCATCATTCCCCAGGTGAATCTCCTCGACGGCAAGAGGAGCATGAACATCAACATTACGCTCAAGCAGTTCAAGTTGAACCCGCTTGACTTGGTTGAGATGCTCCGCAACTGTAAAAGTTCGCAGCTCGGAGCCGAGAAGCTCAGGATGTTGCAGAAGGTCCTGCCAACGAACGACGAGGTGAGCTGATCTACCCCTCAGGCTAATGCAATGATACCGCCTGCCTCGCTCTTTCCCTAGAGATCGAAACGTGGCGCAAAGATTGATTTTGGATGAGTATCGAACAAATCATCAAAGATGTGGACAAACAGTCGACCATTGAATTAGCGGTTGACCCTCCCATCTGAATTTCCCTTCAGATCACATTAGTGAAGAGTTATAACGGGGAAAAGGAGAAGCTGGGTGAAGCTGAAAAGTTCTACCTGGCTCTAGTTTCTTTGAAGCAATTCAACCTCTACGTGGAGGGTCTGCTCCAAATCGAGGAGTTCGAACCCACGGTCAACTCCTTGCACTCCGCGTTGAGAAAGTAAGTTTCCGCCGTCTCGGGACATCATGTCCTCGATCCGGAGCCGCGACTTCGACATCGAAATCATGATTCCGCTGCGGTTTTCTGATGTCTCAAGGTTCTTTGTCTTGCTCAGATACGCGAAAATATGCAACACCATCCTCACCAGCAAGGCCCTCCAGGATTTCCTCGGGCTGATTTTATTCGCGGGGAATTTCATCAACTCGGTAAGCCATTCGGGGATGTTCCACAGCGGCAGACGCCATCTGAAATCCATCCGATTAGAATGCGTATATAAGGTGAAGGGTTTCTGTTATGCAGAATAGCTATGCCGGTAATGCCAGTGGGTTCCAATTATCGACATTGAGTCGACTCCTAGAGACCAGAGCGAATCAGCCGCGAGTGACTCTGCTGCACTATCTTGTCGACCAGGCGAACACCAGGTGAGCGCTGAGAGGACGGAAAGTCTCAACGTTCGGAAAAGCTCGGGTCATTCATTCCAATTATCTCTACTGCCCCGATTTGCAGTGCTCCTGATTCACTGAACTTCTTCCTCCACGACTTGGACGGGGTCGACGTCGCGGCGAGATTCTCACTCGAAACGGCCAGAGCAGATATCGAAACGCTGCGGAGAAACTTGAGTAAACTAGAGAACAGCGTTCGAAATGCCGAGAGTCCTCTGAAGGAGCATCTGCAGGAGTTTTTGAAGGTGGTGCATTCGACAGTAGTCCTGCTTGAGCTTATTACTTGTTCCGCGTTCCGCTCACCCCCACGGCGAGCGCAGGAATCGACGAACCTCGACCAAGGCCTCGACCTTCCATGGATTGAGAATGGCGTTTTCCACAGAGGGCACAAATCGGGGAGCTCGAATCAGAAATGACAAGAATTACAGAGCTGAGCAAAAGCATAATGGAACATTTCTGCGAGGATGAACGCTCCTTCAACATCGAAGAGTGCATACGTCTCTTCGCGACATTCTGTGCCAAAGTCAAGGAGGCGCTAAGGGTCTGTGGAACAACGGATCTACTTCCAGGGATGAAGTCGTGGAGCCACGCTTCCGTCTCGCAAAGAATCCATAATGTTTTTTGAGCAAGACGTTTTCCCTAAAATCGCGATCTTCCAGGAGAACAAAGAACGAAAGCTGATGGAGGAGAGAGTCGAAAGGCTGAGGAAAGCTCGGGAAGAAGCGACCAGAAATGCCCCCAAAGGAATCAAAGGTACTTCTCGGATCAAGGGAGTGTGTCTAGCCACAGTCGGAGGATCGAATCGAGGGAATGTTTCGAGGCACATCGAACATTGGACTAAACATATGGGGCGATTCTGGCTCGCTCAAGCAGGGGGAAAGGGACTTTGAACCCGACAGCGAGCCTCGAATCGATGGAAATTTCCCGATGGGTTTCTAATGTTACTCTCACTCCGATCCATCGAAAGGCCGGCATCATTCATTGGCGCCGTGTAGCCTCCTCTGGTCCTTGGAGGGTCCCTACGAAGAAATGCATCCTGACTCCCTCGATATGTTGCTGGCCCTCCTCGTCGAATAGATATGGTGAGGCATGCGAGCCCGTCGAATACCGAGTCTCGATTTCGGAGGCGCCGGTCGGAAATGCAACTTCGATCATCGCTCTAGGATTGATCGGAGCAACTCGTTCCTTCATTCTATTCCCTGTTGTCAGCACTTGGCCATGACACGAAAGTCTGAGACACAAGCTGAAGGTCTCTGGAAAAATCCAGGACCGCCATCTTGCGGACCATCATCCATCTTCTTGGAAGTGGCTCTCCGGGACCTTCTCCCTGAGACCCGGCCACTGGCATGTTCTGGATTTCCTCTCGTGCACTTCTCTTATGCAAAAGCGAACGCTTATCGGATGGGGTGCTGAAGATAAATCCGCCGATAAATCTGTACCGTCCGAACTCCTCAAGACGGAAGCCATTGAATCCACGCTCCTCGAGCTTGACAGCTTCCAGCGATGGAAGACTTGCGCTCTTGAGCTCCGAGGATTCCGCTCGAGCCTTCCCGAGGAAAAAAATGCTTTGAGCTTGTGATTTAGCATTCTGCCTTCATTAATTTGCAGTGACCCTCATTCCTGAAGCGAATTGTGCTGTCGACAATCTTCTGGAAGAGATTCGACGAGGGGACTTCAAGCTCAGAAAACTCGTCTGCTGATGCTGATCGCCGTCTCTTCGGGGAGCTTGACCTTACCACGTCTGCTCCGAGACAAACGCTCTCGAAGAGCGACAGGAGAATCGAACGCGGGGTTCATCGAAAATGAGGCAGTATCTGGCTCAGAAGACGATTATTTCAAACGGTGATGATGATGAATGAAGATGCGGTTCAACTAAGCCCGCTGTTCCTCGATCGATTCCTGGAGTGTGAAGGCGAGTTTTGTTATGGAGAGAGAATCACATTCTGCATAAAGCGCGGCCCACCCAGAAAATCCCTGATTTTAAAGTATGGAAAGACTTGATTTATTCCTCTCGTCTCCTCATTCCCCTGTAGGTATATCATATGGATTCTGCCCGAGAATCTGAGATCGCTTGGCACTGCCGTATATTGCAAACAAGATTGAGATTCCTTGAGAATTATCTCAGCGTCACCGTAGAAACTCATCGAGGGCTGCCTCGGTAGCCGGTGGTTATCATCGATGTATCTGGTTGTTTTCCAGTAGGAAGTCGTACAGACGTTTCGTCTTGTTAACGTCGATGTTGCACACTTCTCGCGCTCGAGAGAGCCGGAGTCCTTCGCTTTTGCGACACTCCGCGAGTAATTGATTTCTCATACTGAGGAAGGAAGAGGGAGCGAGCCTCAGGGTGGAGCAGAACTGTAAGTGAAGGGGGCGCATGTCAGTCTTGAATGCTTTGATCTGCCGAGGACGTCAAAGCTTTCGTTAGGGGTCGAATCGGCGTCGGAGGTCAGACCTGTACTGACCTCTTTTTCTTGCGGGGAGAGCTTCTCGAAGTTCGGGAAATTTTCGATGGCCAGCGGTGGGGGAGCTGGTTTCTTCTTGCGGGCTCCTTTATGATCGCCATCGTACGTTATCTTGGACGCTTCTTCGCGGAACCGCTTCTGAAGGAACTTCTCCAATGCAGCATCGTTCTGGAATCAGAGTGCATTGAGTTTTAAGTGACCTCATAGATCCCTCGAAACCCTCGAAAGATCTCTCGGATCTCTCCGCGAATGAGAGTCGCCGATGATGTTCTCCTGGCAACCTCGAAGCCGACGCTCACCTTGCGGTTGAAGAACACGTCTCTGCACTGGCTAGGTTTCACATGGAGGTTCCGCCGCTGGATATCGAGTCGTTTGAACTGGGGAATTTCTTCTAAACGTTTGAGACCGTTGGTTCGGGCCTTCTGGAGTGCGCTGAAAGGTTGATATGTTCACTATCACGTAAGGTGTGCTAGCTTGCCCTCGATCACCAAATCCGCCCCAACTATAAGGGCTCCAGTCAAGGAGACCGCCGTGTTCCTTCTGAGAGTCGACGTGAAGGACTTTCGGAAGTCGATCAGGCCAGCACGTGTGGCTCACCTGATTTTGTGCTTGAGCTCTTCGACGGCTTTCATTGACTCCATCGCTGACAGGAAAGCATCGGCTGACATGATCTGAACCAGCGGGAGGAGACCTCGCACATTCCGTTCACCAAAGTCGTCGGCGTATCTGCGTGGATGGAATCCCCGACTGAGAGTCCATCATTCGAATTCAAGAATCTATTTTCGTCCGCGAAACCTTATGTTCAATTATTATCATCGAAGATGCACTCCACCGCAGAATCGCAAAGCTCCAAGATTCGTGCTTCCTTGTATGCTCGGATGGCCGATTTACACACTCAGACACTTCATCTTGTGGCATTGGAGAATCTATCAGGAGCGACAAACCTTGAAATCCAGTGAGCGTTCTGCGAAGCGTCCAGCAGGCCGTGTTCCGCGATGACCTCCTTGATACGCTCTCGCTGAATCAGACGAGAGCGATAAATTTGCACCATAGCCATTTGCAACTCTGGAAAAAACGGAAAATAAACACATGATAACTTGTGCTTGAAATATTTTATAGGCTCAGGCTTATCTTTTCATTTCCCTTATATAATCCATGGGGCGCGCGAGGGAGCTCACTCCTATCCAGAGGATCGAGATCATCGACGTCGAACGAAACGTTATTGAGAATTTTATCCGCAGCAGCATCCGGCTCATCGAAGAAATCCCCCCGAGGTGGACAGTAGCCAGCGTAGAGCTCGGAGTGTTCCACACTCCCGAGCTCAGGTCTCAAGGGCACCTTGGAAGCTGGAAAGCGGTCTTCACTTGAAGTCAGAGCCCTTGTGAGCTATCAGATTGTTTTCGACAAGCCAAACCATGGACTCAGCTGGAGGGATGGGGCTGGAGGCCCACAGGCCACCGAGAGCATTTAGCCCCACAGAAGGGAATCTTACGCAGATAGAGCACAGGGGACGGCCCGATGTAGTACTCAGGAGGAATCGTATCCTTCTTATCATCGCCCTTCAGATCTTCTAAGTCTACGCTTGCAGAGCCATAAATGTAGTGCTTCATGTAATGTGTCTCACACTGCAGATCCGTTTTGTTCCCCATCCTCCTGGAATGATCGAGGATGTCTACGGATTTCGTTCGACCCCGGGAGTGCATCATAACAGCTCAGCTCCAAATCACAGAGCTGTGAAAATGAACACGAAACTCACTTGGCGACGTCGACCCAGTTGCCGAGACCGCACGCTTCGATGGCTTCGAGAAGTTTGATTTCTTCAGCTCCTGTCCAGTCCCAATCCAGTAGAGGTTGGTCTGCAGTCTGGAATCAGACACATCGGAAGTGATGGAAAGTTCGGGGAGTCTTCGGCTCAGCGCTGAACGATCGGACGGCTCGATGCGCGTATGCTCCCACCGCGTGATCAGGGGGGACGGAACGAAAAACGCGTAAAATATCGGAACTCACCAAAACAGCGTAGGAGTGATCACTCTTGTGATCGCCGAACTCGACTCCATAGCTGAAGCATTGAGTACAGATCACGCCTGCGTGGCATCCCTCCTCACGGCATTCAAAGCTTCAAATCGAAGGACACTCATTAATCGAACCTGCCTTCCATCGGAATCGGCCAGGGAACACGCCTGCTCCGCGTGAGAGGCTCGACCAATTCTCTCGAACACCATCCGGATCATAATCGTCGAATCTCTCCAATCGAAGTCATTGCGCAGTAGATTCCTACCGAGTCACCAGGATATCCACGACCAATCCGCATCCGGAACACTTCTCCTCTTCTTTCATAGCGTCCATGATGTTCGTCGCTGCTCCGGAAAATAGCCTCCGCCCGACGACAGCCTGATGAATGGGTGGGGGTTGTCCAAGGGAACCGCCTCGTTCCACTGCGCCGCATGAGGCTGTCATGGTTGGAATTATTTATTGGTTCGCTTCCCCATTACCTTTGTGGAGCTGCTCTTCGACAATACCCGCCAAGACGGATGTAGAACCTCGAGAGGGCAGTCGATTCTAGAGCTCAGTTCGCAAGTACGCGCAAGAGAAGTGAAGAAATCCATACTCCGACATACTTGTCCAGACCGCAAACTAGCACTTCCATTGAGAACAAGCTTCGCACGTTCGAAGTTGGAGCAGCCTCACAGAAACCTATCGTTCTCAGTCTTACCTCTAATTGGAATTCCCTCTCATTGTGGGCAGGCGATCTGGCACCTGGGTTGTAATCGTGGTATATGGGCAAGTAGTTCAATTTTCTCAGAAACTCTGAACACCGGTAGGAAGTCGGCGGCGAGAGGAGCGGAACAGAGAACTCATGCGCCTGTTCCGCTCTCGGTCAGCTGTTTCGGCGCGTTTCGAAAAGCCCGCCAAGGACAGTTTGCGCGCGCCTTCTTCAAATCGTGGAACGCCCGCTTCTAGGAACGAGGGACGGTGGTTCCGTGAATTCGAAAGGATCGCTACTTGCAGCTGAATCAGTGACAGTAAGCATGAAACCATCGATAGGATGGTATTATTCTGCCCGCGGAAACTCCTGGGGCTGAGCAAGACCTGCCAAATGACTAAGGATTCTATTCCGGAGTCAATTCAAGCTCTCGGATCGAAATCGATAAGTCCGATCTCCTGTAACTCAGTCTGTCACCCCTAGCTAATTATCTCCGGGAGACCCAATGGGAATTCATATGAGGAGCGTCAAATATTATTCGTTTCCCGATAGATACAGGGACTCCGCCCAGTTTCCTTGCCCGGACTACCCCACCAAGCTTAAGAGGTCCGTAATGATTCGCAAGATCGTCGGGGGCCTCGAAGGTCTACTGACAGCACTTTCCACCGTCTCCGATCAGAAGAAGACGTTCATTTACTTCATTGGCGACCGGAACGCTTCAGGCGAAAGCTGGTGTCCGGATTGCAGAGATTGTAAGTGAAATTCAACAATCGGTTTCATTCTCTCTCTCGGTTCGGCTACCTTGATTCATTGTGTAGAACTTATGCCCCAAGTGAGCGATTCAATGGCAAAATAATGGCAAATCTCAATCATCTTAGCGGATCCGGTCGTCTCTCAGGCGCTCAAAGATTTAGAACATTTAGACGTGAGCTTCGTGACGTGTGAGGTTGGAGATAAGCCGTAGTGAGTACCATCGACTTCATGGGGTTTTCAATCTTAGGGACAAGGAATTCGCTTATATTCCGATACCCATGATTGAATTATATTCCGATACCTATGCCGCAGGAGGGAATATAATTTCATCGCTCTGCCTTTATATTCTCTAGCTGGAAAGATCCGAATAACGGTTTCCGGAATACGGAGAAGCTCAGGATCAGCAGCGTGCCCACTATCATTCAATGGAATACGGTAGGGATTTTCAAATATTCCCGATTTGGAGTTTCTTGAATTATGTACCCGATGATTCGAAACAATGAGATCAGAATTCCACCTCGCTATCCACAGGATCGGAGAATTAGTGACGCCGATTGCTGCTCTATTGAGAAAGTGAAGGAATTCCTCTCTGAATGAAAGTGGAAGCTAGAAATCCGAGTTGCGATCTACAAACGGTGCGGCTGAAGAACGGAAGATCTCCGGTGTCTTATGGAGAAGTTCCGCAGCTGATGTTGAGACTCCTCGAGGAATAAATAACTATTTGCCGTTAATGTTCTCCGATCAATGTTAGTTTCGAGCTCGAGCATCTGCGTGAAGCAAGGGGCCGGATATTCGCCGAACACGTCTCCAAGAAGGTTGCGACGGACAGAATCTGCGTAGAAGCTCATTGCGACAATATCGTAATTCCTCCAATGCGTTCTCAATTGTGCGGAGAATCCCGCATATTGACCATAAATCACAACTTTTGGCCGTTATTGGATACTGGAAGGCCCGTCGATATCTGTATCATTCCTCCGAAGCGACAAACCTTCGTGGTGGGATTTCCTAAAGAAGAGGGTCCAACCGACCGCCCTCCGCACATTCTAGACCTAGAGAGCGTCGGAGTCGGGTTTAGCTATCCGAGATCGTAGCTTCCTCTCTCTTCTGATGAGATTCCTATCGGACGGATCAGCTTCCCTCATGCCCTCATCTTCACTAACCAACGAGCTCCAGAATCGGTTCACCAATCGGTAATTCAGGCTTATCCCCTCGATAGCTGCATTCCTAAGGAACTCCGACTATATCGACCGTTGTTGGACCGGAGATTACCTCATATTCTTAGACCGAACTTTGATCAGTGACCACGATCATGCGCATGGTCACGGCGAATTCATTGAGAACCTTCGAGAATGCACTGAGATCCATTCGAAGAGAGCACAAGGTAACCCTCGTGAGAGCATGAACCATACGATCGAGACCCTTGCCGAATGCATGTAAAGATTTTCAATGACGGTCCATGAGACTGCAGATCCAGCTAACTTCGGAGAAGATTCTCCAGGATCCGATGTCTCGGTTTTCGAAGAAACGAGCGCTGAGTGATCCCGAGTCTCTCCACGGAGTTCTGGAAAGCGGAGGATTATAATGGTTATCATTGTTGAGAGAAGGTTGAGGGAAATGAGGGAAAGAAGGAATGTGACAACAGGAATTCAATCATCTCGCCATCCTTTTCCCCCGGTACATTTCAGATAGGGTCGCCTCCTCTACATGCACAAAAACGATGGGGTGTATTTATAAACACTTTCGCTCTCACTCTCATCGTCAGTCCGAACAGCCGTTTCCCACCCGGATGACTGCGAGTCCTCGCCTTATGGTTCCGGAATCCTCAGGCTTACGCTGTTGAAGATGATGTCGTTCAAGTCGAGTTCTTTCAAATCGCTCGGGGAGCTGCGGGATCGTGCCAGTGCCCAGCTCAAACAATACTCGCCATATGGTAATGCGAGATCGTGGCTTGGACCGTTCGAAAGTCGTTCTTCGCCGGACCAGGATGAGGCCGCAGACCCAAAGGAGCAACCTAAAGACTCAAACAATCAATCGGATGGAGTCGAGTACACCCAACCACCGAGTGCCGAGGAAAATCTATTCCAACTCTTCCATCTGGAACTCATGAGTGTACTCGAACCAGCCAAGATCGAACTTCTCGGCACTCGCGTGGGAGCCTTGCTAGTGGATCGTAATCCACACTGGCCACTGATTCGCGACAATGATGGCCTAGCCGTTTTCATTCAACAGACCCTCTGGCGCGTGCTTTTTGGGCGACGAGCAGGGAAATTGAAACGAGCTGCCATGGTGAAGGACCTAGATGGATACTTTGTGGAGACAAGGGTGTTCCCCTGGATGCGCGGAAGTTCGCTAGAGCAATCCACCGCTTTCATGAAAGGTCTTCTGATCGGTGTTATCGGTCGTCTGGCGACCGCGACCGACGCCGAGCCAAAGGTCCACATCGAAATACAGCCGACGAGACTCTTTCGGTTCGTTTTCGGCATACCGCGCGCTTCGGAGAACTCGAACGATGTTTTCGACGAGCACCACCGGCTCTTTAAACTAGAACTGGAGTCACAAGAAAGGGACAAGGGGGCAAAGCGGTTCTCGACGGCGCAATTCCTCTCAGCAGATAGAAGAAGTATGACTCAGAAAACTTCAATTACCCTAGACTCGCAAGGGGAATCCTCTGAACTCTCCGAAGAACTCTCCGGGGAGACGAGTGCCAGGGAAGCGACAGATTCACTCTCGGATAGCCCAATATCCCTTGATTGGACCTCACACGAGGACGCGGACGGAGGCTTCCCGTGGCCGCGGTCCTCTTCGTCAGAACATTTCGATCTTTGAATGAGGAGTCGCGCTCATGGATTTCTCGCGTTACTTAGTGCATAGTCCATTTCTTGATTTAGTGATGTTGGTTTCAAATCTGTTTCGGGTGAATTGATAAATCTCATGCTCAAGGGTTCGGGTATTCTTCGCGATGCCGAGAGACCACGAAAAGCTCAACGATCGAATATCATTGCTGAGAATAAAGGAATCTCTACAGATCTGAATAGGCTCTTCTTCCCTCCTACTCTCCTCTCAGCCAGAACCGTTCCAACTCGCTGTCGAACCCCGTTCCAAAACTCACGGGAAAACTACCGCTGCGGTTCGATTCCCAAAGGACATTCTTCAGATAAGTTGCAGCTTCGTACGTAGTTACCTATGGTATAGGAGGCCGCTCTCTTGCGATCGGACCTCTCTCCTGTTGTAACGGTGTCGAGAGCTCCCTGTTCCAAGCTCCATAAGTACCGAGGAAGCAGGAGACAGAAGGGACTTCGGTTGCCGAGGAGAGGTGCCAGCCCCGGGGTCGGCCGGCGGTACGGGTCCCGACACATTCTCTGGGGGTCCCGGGACATTCTCTATGAGTACCGAGAGGTCCAATCCGGTAGTTTTTCTCTTCCTCTCCTTACGATCCACCCAGGTTGAAACCACACAGCGATCTCTAACGATATATCTCACGAGAACCTCAATCCCCTCCATGGGGAGTTTCAGTGATCGGAGCCAAGATTTCCTCCAGAAACTCTGTCAAGCGGGGGCCCGCTCTGTTTGTGTTGGAGATGGCCAGTTCCGAGGGAAGAGGACAAGGGAACTCGAAAAAGCCTTGGTCGACTCCGAATTCCGTCAGTCCGTCCTATCCAGACCGCTAGCTCAGAAGTCGAGACATCATTTGACTCTGATCGCGGGGGACGAGTACAATCCTGAAACAAGGAGCGATATCCTCCAGCGCGACGGTGACACTTTTTTCTTCTTAGTTTTTCCGCCCCTGGAGTCACCTCCAGAGGAGATGGATTTGGTTCTTCGGCAGATATCGACTCTCCGCTTCAGCGTCAGGAGCGACAGACGAGAGGAAAGCTTTCGCGAGTCACCCGCCGCACATGGTCATGCTGGTCCCTCAGCGAAGTTTGGTTCGGTTTGGTGTCTCCGATTCGGGCCTTGTGGAGCGGACGCCTCCCAATGCTAAGCTCGGGTTTGCGAAGATTCTCCCATGTGACAATGTGGGCATGATGACTCACTTTGCACACGATTCCTAATCCTTCCCGTGGAGGAGAGCGCCATGCCGTTGACTCGAGCTCACGGCGATTGGCCACGGAATGGCCACTCGGATCGCCGGCAGCCCTGTCGTGGTAAGGTGTATTACTCTGATTCAAGCGTGATACTCCCCATTGGAGATGATATGATACATCAATGTTTTATCCGGGGCATCCCCGATCGAGTCATCCGGTCAGCCGTCATCAATTGATTACATTCCTTGAAGTCCCATCGGAAAGATACTACGTCGCGGCGAAGTCGCATTCCGACGCGAGTTCGTCCTCACCTCCGATGCGATGTTCCAATCAAGAAGCGGAACTTCGCTCATTACAACGATACTCCGCGACTCCCCGCGGACCAACTTGGAGAAAGTTTCCAATCAATACTATTCTCTTCGGAACAGAATGGGACTCTGATGCTTGGGTCCGCATTGTTCTCCTCACCGATGTCTTCTTGGAAAAAAATGTGAAGATCAATTCTTCCGCCCACAAGCTTTCTTCGCCACCCGTTCTGGCGAATTCTCTCGTCGGGACTCGAGGGTTGATTACGGATGCGTCATCAATAGAGCCCGTGACTTCATGCAGAGAGCATACATAGATTGCATAAAAATGCATATCCTGGGCTGTTTCTCCCGGAAATGCATATTCTAGGCTTTGAAGCATAATTCTGCACATCCCATATTTTTCCCGCCGATTCTTGCGGGAATTCGACTCTGAGAGCGTCGAACAGCCACCCCAGCACGTTTTGACAAAATGGAGTCCTTGGTTTAACGCAGCGGTTTATTTCGCCAACAACTTCGATTCATTTCCGGAGGTTTCGGACGCTCTGGACGTCAGCGACGCTGCGAGCATCGGAGCGGCTGCTCAATTAGTGAGGAAGCCCTCTGTAAGAAACAATCTCGCTTTTAAAAGCAAACTTCGGGGAGCTTCCGTATGCCATCGAGAAACTGGAAACGGATGGACTGTCTTTGGTAGAAAGCGTGGATATCTCCGAAGCGCTTGAGATCTCAAGAATACACCCGGTGATGTTGGGGATTCGGCCCGAGAGAAATGCGATGCGGTTGTGATTGGTGATGGCGGCTTGAGCATTCTGAAGGATATCTCGGACGTACTTCGGGGGCAGCTCCGCGGGTCGTCCCATTGGCCGCGACCGTCGGAATTCTCTCATTGGCCGTCGGAGATTGCCTGCTTCAAGTACGCACCGATCACGTCGGTTGATCTTGAGAGGAGCTTCTCTAGTTTGGAGCACCTTCTTAGCGACCGTCGTCAGAGTTTCACGTTCGAAAATTTGAGGACGCATCTCATTGTCTACCGTAACCCGTAAATCAAATATGTGCCTGGATTGAGCAGGATTGAGTCAATCCCAAAAAGTATCATGAAAGCTGCGCGAAGCTCCTCGTTTTCTTAAGAGCATATCTCTTTTTTTTTAATGCACATATCGGCCCTCTTCCAGGGCTTATTTGCATGCCATGCATTGGAATAGGATACCTACGCCTATACGATGCGGGGAACGCGAAGCATCGTAATCACGCTCTTCGAGAACGAAGCCGGGGTTCGAATGCCGCAGCTCTCCAAGCGGGCCTTCTATTTTTCAATCTCGCCTGCGTGATCAACCATCAGAAAGAAAACAAACTCGAGTCTGCTTTCATCAACGCGTTTTCTAGAGCTTCTCGACCCTTTTCCTGGATTGCTTGGCGAATTCTGTCCCGATTCCTGGACGAAAAAAGAGGAAGTAAGATCACTCGATCATATGATTCGAACATCAACGTGTACCTAATGCGGCTAATTTACGCTCGCATGTCTGTGTCAAGCGTTCCACGAAATGCTTCCTCCCAAATATGTAGTCGAGCTCAACAACCGATTCCGCGCAGCTCCAACTCTGCCTTTTCGACTAACCTGTCAACCAGAAGCCTTTGCAGCAGAACCTCTGCGAGCTTATTCAGGACTGGAGTGACTCCAGTGATTCTTTGGAGGCGTACTTGGCCCAGATCGATTACTTCGAAGTCCTTGAGTGCGACCTTGCCCGAAAGTACCTGAAGCGAGACGATTTTCTTGCGAGACCTTCCATGTTCTAGTCGTCCTTGGTCCGATTTCCGCGTAAATCGAAGGGAGACATTCCCATCCCGGAATTACATATGGTTAGAATGCTCGATTCTCCCGCTCGCGTCCCGTGGATCGAGCTCTACGATTCTTCCGAAACGATCGAGGATGTTAAATGGAGCATGGTGAGTCGGTGGCGCACATCGAATTTGTCTCGCTGTTTCTTTTGCTTGTGCGGCGAAATGCTGAATCTCGTTCCCCAGATCGCTCGTCCATCCGCCGACTTTGATGCCCGACTGTCGTGAGTAAACTTCGTAGCTCGGCGAGTTCTAAGGTCGCGTCGAGAATAGCTCGAACTTTTGATTGTGAGTGAAACTTCAATCTAGTCACTTGTTCCCAGACAGGAGAGCATCGCATATACCAAGGGCATGAAATTGACGATTTTGCGGCACGGAACGGTGCGATCTGGCGGAGTTATCATTTTCTCCCGACAAAATTCAATAATACTCGGGACCCTCTTGAGGTGAGCAACTCGGATTTTCGAGAAAGGAAGGTCCGATTGCTCATGACTCACGCCGTACCGCCAATTGTACCGGGTCTAGGGAGTCCCGCGCGCGGTCCCGTTCCCTGCCCCTATCTCGATTGGCGCTATCGAGTATGAACCATTCGTGTCTTTGCGATAGTTGAGTGGATCATTTGCCAAGATTAGATCTCCCCTTGGTCGCGAAACTTTTTGATATATCCCGTGGAGGAACAGAGCTGGACCCACGTTTGCTGAGACTTTGAGGCTGAACGTTATGCGCTCGATCTGCGCCAGAATATCGCCCCTCAGTCGGAGGAGCCGCTTCTGCCGAATGTAGTCGATGTGGATGGTGACGGAGTTGACTTCCAAGGTGGCAGTGAGAATGATTCCTCCGAGTCTATTCTGGGTCGTTGCGGGACCTTTCCTCAGCAAACTCAGAAGGTTGTGAATGGTGATCTGCAAGTTGAGTTCTGGAAATGACCCGACAACTACAGCTCCATGAGCTGGGACCTTGCTCATAACACCTCTTTGTCATCCGACACTACCTATACGACTTCCGCAGATCCGACTCACGTTATAGAACTCGAACTGCTTCAGCTGAACGTCATCTACGCGCAGGGGATCCAACATCTCCCGCACCTCCGTGTCGTTCTTCAGGTTGGTGAGAACATTATCGAGAAAAACGTCAGCACTCCGACCTGGAATTGGGAGTTGGCTGATTTTTTCGCTGCGACACAGAGGCAGACCGGTCTGCGCAGCGCCGGTTAGTGACGAATACATTTTTGACAGGTGGATTTTTATGCACTCGCTCAGATGAAATTTTTGCTCCGAGCCATAGTCGTATCTACTCGGGACGTTAATTGGTTCGCACTGAAGTCAGGAGGAGCGTTTTTGCCAAATCCAGGAGCAATATTGCCTGCTCCCGACGCGACGTGTTCCTGCGCTCTGGAGGAGACTCAGACGAAATCATTGCCGTTCCTTCAACTTGGGGCTCTCCCAGCCACGAAAACATTAGCTCCAGTAGATTGTCACTCCCAACGAGCCAATCCTCGTTCATTTCCCGATCGCTGTCAAATTCTGGAGAGTTCCGCAACGTCGTTCCTCGGAAGCCTCGAGCCTAGTAATTGGGGGTGGGGTGGCGAATGAAATGAATCTCCTTTTTAATTCGAAGGGTCATCGTGACTTGTTGTCAGACATTCGATACTTGCCCTGACAGTACGCTGTTAGTACGACACAGCAAGTCACAACACGTAATGTCGACTCCATCGAGATGTTCGTCGAGGTTGCTGGAACCACGCATCTAAGGGGCTTCCCGATCTCGGTATCCACGTTTGGGAGAGATCGAGATCCGATGCGAGCGTTCACTCTTCCCTCGACTGGGCGTATTGTTCTGAGGGAAGACCAAGAGAATCATCTACAGAAACAAGTAATCCACCGGTCGAGTGACAAAACACGGCGACCGCCACTTCCACCGCCGCACCGGCCAATGTGACGTGACTTCCCGTGAGAGTTGTCCGATGAGCGAATGACACCGATGGTGGTGGAGCGCCGCAACTCAATCGACGACAATGGTCTCCGTGAGTTCACGCTTAAATTCAGCTTTTCATCGACAGCCGGAACGAGGGACGACCCTGGCGCCAATTGTCAACAAGAAAATCCGTGGAGGCGCTCGACTCCAGATTTGCTTGGAGGTCAACTCGAAATAAAGGACTTTCTGTTTCGGTGTCTTCTCGCCTTAAAAAAGTGTTGTAGTGCCACCGACAAGAACGTCTCACGGTCTCACAGATCGGTCGCCGGAATAGCAGCGAACGGCAAAGCGGTGCTGGAAGTACTCTACCCCGGAGTTCGCGAGGAGCTCGTATTTCCTCAAGATCTCGACTGCGAATCCCTGGACGGATCCTCGCGTCGAGACCCCCCCCCCTCCGAACTAGCGGACACCGTGAAAACGTGGCGATCGGCAGAAGCTTTGACAGAGGAAAGAGTGAGAATGATCGTAACCTGAGCCGTGTCGTTTTTCGGAGCGTCATCCCGAGTCCGGGGTAAGATTACTCGCAGAGCTTCCGCTCAATGAGGGAAAAACACAAAGGGAGAGGAACGAGGAGCGCGGGTTGGAGAGACGGAGAGGGGGAGATGGATGAGAGGCAGCGAGAATACAATGCAGACTCGCGGGCTCTTTGACGCATTAATTAGATTGGTCCTCCGGTGCCTGCCGGTTAGTCCGCATAGTCCTACATTGACGCCTGGACATCACTCCCTAACACTCAGCGTCGAGGATCGTATGCTTGGACAAACATGATATGCCTGCGTCGCTTTTCTCGATACTGCACACCGACTGCGCCGAAACGCCAGATGAATACGAGAGTATTCGATTCCTTACGGGTACACATCTTGTTTACGCATTGTGAGAAGCATTCCCCCGCTCCTCATGCTCAATTTACCGCCGCGAACCCGGGGGTCATCTTAGAGGACGCGCCCCTCGTTTTCGATCCAGGTTCGGTAGAAATGTCGGCTCCACAGCAGGGAAAGAGAATGCTTCGAAGTTATTGAGAGACGTCTGCCTAATGGCCTAGGCATCGATGCTTTGAGGAACTCATTCGCGGGACTCTTCCGCAATCGAAGTCATGGATGATTTGAATGGGATCAGAATCAGTTTTGCAATGAGTAACATGAATCCTCTGGCGGCGAGCTCTGCGAATGACATTTCTACGGGCTCGAGGTAATGGGGCTGATGGGAAATTCGACATTTTTTCATTCGGAATGCCTCAATTTTCTTATGGCCAAGAACTCAATGAAATTCTAAGAGCTCGCCTTAAATTTTCAAATTCGAAAACAGCAAACACGGCAACTGATCTCGGTCGTCCACGGTCTCCGCTTGAATTCTTCTGAGCTGCTTCCCGGAGCTCCGTGAGAATTCGGTTTCGGAAATGATAAGAATTCAACTTCCGATCCGCTGTTTCTGCTCCGACTCCCGAACGACGGCGATGTCTCCGTTTCGTACGAGCGGGACCCCGGTTCGATTCTCTCGGTCGACCACACGGAGACTGCTGAACGTAGAAGTGTCCTCAATCCACTAACTGGCAGAAATTTCAAGTCGCCCTCTGAAAAGAGCTCGCAATCCATCCGAAGAATGTCAATCCTCAATTCAACAACATATCCGTGCCATGGTGGAATCGACGGAGAACTCCAGTTTTTAGGGTGTGCAGGGATCCGGTAGAAGAGGAAGGATGCACTAATACGACTTTCTTCAGCGCCATTGTAAGCCAACGCCCTCCCCACCTTTTCGAGGAGCAGCGTTTGAATATTCAAAGACATCGGCGTGTCCAGCTGAGAGATCCTCCATCAATTAGGCGTTGAATGGGAGATCATTAATCGTTCCTATCATTTCATGAGCATCGGATCAGCCGCCGATCCCGCCTATCAGCGAGAGGACCGCGCCACCTGAAAGCATCGTTTCCCGGGCCAGTAGTCACGGGAAACTCTTCTGATCCTATCGACCGCAGCTGATTCGGCTCCAAAATAATCGCCGGCCCTCCCGTCTAAATGGAACTTACCCGGAGTGAAGTGCGGAGGTATCCCGTCGGAACGGGAACGTTCAACTTTGGGGCTATGAATCCTTGAGGAATTCCCCGGAAATCCCGGTCGATCGAAGCTCCTCTAGGGTGCGGAAATCCAAGAACTTCCCGCTCCCTAAAGATTGCTGCCGGGGAGGGAGGGAGGGTGTGGGAACCTCCGAGCCGCTGGAAATAGAAAGGTTCCCTCACAGCGGGAACCCCGGGCCTCATGGCCGACGGCAAATGGAGGGATTATTTATTGTTCAGCTTCATTAATAAATTTTGAATTTAATCAGCGACCCGGTCGAAAAGCCCCGAAGAATTTCCTCGCTTCCGGCAGCTCAAACAGCGGCATCGAGCTTATAGTTGATGCTCTCGATGGAATCGCCGAAAAAGAATGATTCCATGGGGACTAATGGGCCATGGGGAGATGACATCCTGATCGCGTTGATAAGGAACACTTCTAAATAGCTCGTGGGATTCGAGACATAGACACGAATCTCCAATACGACTCGTGAGCATGGGAGAGACCTTTCTCACTCCGATCTGAGGGTGGACTTAACAGCGTAGTATGTAAACCAGCGACAGTCCCTGCTCTGCTGGAATAGAGAGCAGCAGATATTCGGTGTGAAACAATTCCGTGGGGATCGGCGAGAGCTTCATCCATCCATCCTCGCGGCTATCGTGGGTTCGTTCAATCTCTCCGTCGGCCGATATCAGATAAGGGAGATATTGGCTGTAGTCCTTGCCGAGAGGCTCTTTATGAGGAGAGAGACCCAGCAGAATATCGGAATTATCATGCTTCCGAATGTACCAGCGTGCGATTCACGCGATCCCACTCTGCATCGACGATCGAGATGGAATACATTCGATCGGAAAAACTTTCCAATAATGAGTCATCGAGGAAACGTTTGTGCGAATTCCCACAAATTTCGAACACACAAGATTCGTGACTCGTGACTCGCCAAGCTGCCCGCGGTCCTCCGTTTATGGATTCACACGTTTAATCCGGACTTCGGGACAGTTTAGATGTCGGAGGCAGGATACGCAGTGGACGCCGGTCACGAAATCGAAATCATTCTGGAAAATAGGTAATATTCTTCGCGAATGACGTTCTGCCATCCGCTTCTTGCTCATCGGAGCTGATTCAACGCCCTCTCGGTATCACCCGGGAGGCCTGTCCCCAACATCTCGAAACTCCTCCGCGGACTTTTCCCGAAACTATTCGAACCTTCCTCCCGTTACACACTCGTCGACCCGGCGGGGCTCGAGGGCTAGTAGGGACGTGGTTCGAGATTATTACAGCGGAGGACTGTGAGACCAGTCGGGCGTCACTTTGCGGTCACGCAAACAAAGCTGCGACTCCGTCTTGGCTCGGCTCTTCTGTCGACCCCGGCTCGACTGATTCCCATAGCCTCACGACCTGATCGTATCAGAGCTCTGGCAGTGGTCTTCACGACGCTCTTCCGACGTCGTGAAGAGGCCCGGTAGGGAAAGACCGGACCCAGTGCGTTCCGCAGGAGCCCCCTTGGACGGAACCGTGATGAGGATCCTGTTGCTCGAGACTCAAGTCAGTCCTTTGGCAGCAGCGGAATTCACCAGCCGAGGCGTAGTATCTACGCTCTCACCCACCAGATGTCACTCCCGGGCGGGGAATTCAAGCGATCCTGCCCAGATCAGATGCGGGATACCGCGAACGATCTCGTTCACTCGGTCGCAAAGTTTTGAGTGGAGCGCAGATGAAACAAAATGTGTCGGAATATTGGAGGAGTTCCGTGGTAATGCCGACGCAATTCGAACAACTGGGCTTTCCGCGTGGCTGCAATCGCCAACGACCGTGAAACTCTGGCCGTAAGGAGCACTTAGGACGAGAACGACGTCCTCGACAAAGCGACAAACGGACCGACGGATCTACCGACAGCTAGCCGGCCGGCGAGAAACTGGGCGCAGATGTAAAGCCGACGAGCCCACAGACCGACGGACAGGATTCCCTAAAATGAGTTTATGTCCTGAACGGGTAGAAATTCACAGCCTCGGAAAGTGGCCATCCGTCATGATGGCGGTGAGTTTCAGCGAGCGGGCGAGAACGCGGGGAAGCCCGTTCTGGATTGAGAACAAAACTTTCATGGGACCTACGCGCACGGCTTGAACATTTTGAATCAACAATGTGTCGAGCTCTGTTCGTGAACTCCGTGCACTCCGCTCGGCTGTGCGCGACGTGCGAAATAT